CCCCTCTATAATCACATCATATAAAAACTCCTCTTTATCACATTCTATACTCAAAAACAAATTACTATTAAACATATAAAAAACTACCTCTATATAGGCACAGCCTCTTTATAAGCACATTTTTTAAAAAAGTTATTAGTAAACAAAACGTGTGATTATAGAGGGGGTTGACTGTAGAAGATTTTAGAACACAAAGTGCTCTTAAGTCTGGATCTAAAGAGCGGCTATTGGCAAGTAAGAATGAATAAAGAAAACAAAGAGAAAACTGTATTCATGACCAAGGCCAGACTCTTTGAATTTAACATCATCCCATTTAGGCTGTACAATACCCCACCATCTTTCAAAGATTAATTGACAAAGTGTTGTTTAAATACCTGAAAAAATTTGCTATAGTATATATAAATGACATTCATGTATACTTCAAGACATTTTCAGAACACCTAGAATACCTAAAGAAGGTATTTCAAAAGTTAAAAGAGGCTAAGCTAACTGTAAATATGGAAAAATACAAGTTTTTCTTCTAGAAATACACTTCCTAGACCTTGTAGTTGGAAAAAATAGAATTAAACCTAACAAAGCCAAAATATTAAAGATGCAGACCTTCCTCATGCCAAAAACTATTCAAAACTAAGAGTGTTTATTGGCTTGGTATCCTATTACCAAAGGTTCATAAAAGAGTTCACTTCTGTTACCTGACTACTCTACTAGTTGTTACAGAAGAACACTCAATATAAGTGGGGTCAAGAACAAAATTAGGTCTTCAAAAGGCACCTTACCACTACTCTGATTCTATGATACTTCAATTTTGACTAAATCTTTTACCTCTATACTAATATATCAAGAACTGGATTGGGTATAGTCTTGACCCAAAAAGATAAAGACAAAAAGGAGTATGTGATCTTCTATACAAGCTAAAGTCTTTTTAGAGCTGAAAGAAACTACTCTACTACCAAGCAAGAGTGTCTTGCTATAGTATGGAAGATAGAGCACTACTACCACTACTCTAGATTCAAGCTATTGTGGTAGTGACCAACTATTTAGCCTTGAAATAGCTACAAATCTCTATGCTTAAAGGCAGAAGAGTTCTATAAATCCTTTGGCTCAAACTTTACAACTTCACAATGAAGTATCGCTCTAGCAAAACCCATAGTAATGCTGACATCTTATTAAAATGACCCGAAGCTAAAATTAAGAAAGAAAACTTATTAACAAATGATAACTATGATGCAGGAGTAATTGTTGGGGTACAAACCTGTCTAGAATGGCTAAAGCACTCACCTAGTACAACTAACTACCTGAAACTAGCAGTGAAGTAGAAGTATACCAAATTATAAATGACTTTATGGATTGAGATAACAATAATGACAAAGTAGAGTAGAAAAGTCACTACAATGTCTCTAATAAAGAAATAGATGATCTGGTACATCTCTACAACCTCATCTTGGGACTGGAGAGCCCTGGTAGAACCTAGATAAATATGAGAATTCTGTCTAAAATGATGAACTCTCTAACAAAGAGAGAAGGTACTGGGAATTTGTTCAAGACCTATATAATGAAACTAGAAAAAATGAATATCTGTTCAACCACCCCAGCAACTACCTGATATAGCTGCTCTGAGAAGAAAGTTTGGCACTCCTAAATCTTGAAGAAGTATATGAGATCAATGATCAATGGGAAATAGAGCAGAGAAATGTTTCCTGATCACAACTTCTGGTCAAATAGTCTAGACAAATAGGTGGTATTGAGAAGATAAGTACAAAGTATTTGTTAGCATCCTTGGTAATAAAATAGAGATAGATAAGACAGAAGAGCTCAATATTGAAAAACTAAATAATAAGGAACCAAGTGATATGAATACACACCAGCTCCTAATTCATATGCTTGTTTTGACTGTTACAATTGAGAAAGATATGCCAGACAACCTAACATAATGAGAATCCAATATCACATGATTTGCAAAAAGTAGGCCTCAAAGCAATTGTTAGCTACAAAACACCAATCTTGAAGAAGAAAATTGAACCTAAGTCTTCTAGGATAAAGAAAAATGAAAACTATACTATTATGAAAGCCAACTGCCCCAGTTTCTTTTCAAGAAAGATCGAGTTAGAGGAAGTCTTAGTACCTCAGGAATCTAAAGAGCAATAGTAATGGTAGAAAATTTGTTAGATAAAAAAATAGTAATATTAAAAAAAAAAAAAAAAAACTGAAATAGAATAGATAAGATAGTTAGCATAGATAGAAAAACAAACCTAACAATACCTAGTTGGTTAGAATGAGATGGAGTAGAATGTGGAGCTTTATCTAATATAAATAAATATAAAAAAGAAATAATCAAAATTAGTAGTATAGTTTTAAACAGCAGCAAAAGAACACCTACCAAGACTATTGACACCCAAGAAATCTGATGATAAACTTAATCCAGCCCAAGTTGTCAGTGTCCAGGCTCTCAAAAAAAAATATGACGAATTCAAGCACCAAATCCACAAACATTATGAAGGAAGACCTTGACTATACTCGATTGAAGAAGTATCTGCAGTACTAGTATATTTTACCAAGCTTGGATCCTATAGAATGAGCAAAATTGATCTAGCAAAGTAAAACAATAGTGCTTAAAGAAGGAATACTATACAAGAAGTCAAACCTAAAAAATTAATAAGGATTGCCCAAAGGTTGAAAGTAGAGCCAATTCTATTTTTAACACACACCCACCCATTAAAAGGACATTTTAATGACCAGAGTATGTTTGAGAAGATAAGAGATACTTACTTCTGGCCCTGACAATTCAAAGAAATTAGTAACTATATCAAAACCTGTGACTAGTGCCAGAGATGCAGAAGAACAAACTAAGATGACTTCTCCATCCAAAACCAGTCACCTCACCATTTTACCAAATCAAAATTGATATTGTGGGTCTTCTGCCAATAATACTACAAAACAATTGGTACACAATAGTCGCTACTGATTACATATGAAGTGGCCTAAGGAATAAGCTCTCGAATCAGTAGATGCCCAAACTGTGGCTAACTTTATATTTGATGAAATTATATGACACCATGGGTGCCTAGAGAAGATACTATTCGACTGAGACAAACACCTCTTAAATCATCTAATGGATGAGTTGTTAAAGAAATTCAGGATTCGACACCAAAAATTGACCCCATAACATCTCCAAACCAATGGGCTAGTTGAACGCTTCAACAAAACATTGTGTGAAGCAATCATCAAATCAATAAGATATGTCCCTGAGTAGGACCTAATAATTCCTGCCATACTATTTGCATACCAGACCACCAAATATTCAACAACCAAACTCACACCATTTTTTCTCATACACAGTCTAGAAGCTCGATAACCTATTCACCCTACTAGTGTGGGAGAGTTAGAAACTATAATGGAAAAAACGGCAACACTGTTGGAGCACCTACCCAGAGTCCAGATTGATGCAGTAGTACAAGTTCACCACACCCAACTCAAAAAGAAAGAAAAATTTGATAAGAAGCTTCATCCGCTTCCAGCATTGTTTATAGGAGATAAGGTCCTATTGTATGATACTGCAAAGGTTAGTCATAAGAGTGGAAAGTTGGAGCCAAAATAGAAAGGCACCTTTTTTGTGTATGACTACTTGCAGACATATACAAGCTGTGAACAATGCATGGGGAAGTTTTAGCAGCACCGATCAATATTGCTATTGAAAAAATACTATGATTGTCCAGGAGTAGGTCGAGCTGATCAGGAACTGCCTCAGATCTGTGTCGGGAGCAAAAGTTAAAATTAATAACAGTAGTTAATACTCAGAGTAAAGGCAAATATATAAAAATAAAAAAAAAAAAACAAAAAAAAAAACAAAAAAAAAAAGGAAAGAGCAGAAAAGAATTTGTATCTGGGAGAAGTGTGGAATCGAAGAGAAACTATCCCCAAAAAAAAGAAATAAAAAGGGACCAAAAACGAATCAGAGGAGGAATTAAGACTAGCAAAAATGCCAGCCACTTTCCTGGAAATCTTCAATGACCTTGGGCCCTACTACCATGACCCCAGTGACGCTGCCTTACTCTGCTACTGCTAACCTACCCATAGGCATACAATCGACCTTTACTTGTATGAAGCAAGCCTTACAACTTAGGCGCCAAGCCTGCGTGTTGGGCTATGCATACTACCTAGGAATGCTCTGCACAGCTGCGACTCCAGAACAATTACGAGTCATACGGTGGCTCACTATCGAGTATTACTACTAGAGATGGGCATGCGCGTGATCCGCGCGTAATCCTGTGCGTGATTCTGCGTGGGGTGCGCTGGATTATTTTAGAGCCCACGCGGGATTTTTAATATGATTCCAGGTAAAATTATCTGGCCAGCATTATTATATTATCTGACTGACATTAATATAATATCTGGCCTGCATTGACATACTAACTGTAAATTTCTCAAAATATCGAATTTTGACCCGAATTAAGCTTAATTTAGGCCAAAAATCGAAACAATGCCCATGCCGCTATTTCGAAAATTTACAGTAGAACAATAAATTTGATTTTCAATAATAATTTTTGCATGGTTATTTATTCGACACAAAAAATTAAGAAACCTGTAGATTTGTGATCCTATCCCGCGCGGGATTCGAATCA